CCATTATTGCCTTGGCAGTGCCTCTGCTATCAAAAGCAAACAAACTTAAGGCAGAACTGAACCAAAATGACATTCATGAAAAACTGAAATGAATTCTTAATGTGGAGTTACATCATGGATCTGAGCATGTCTTTACCTTATTGGAAAGAGCTTCCAGGGCAGCTCTGGGCCGTGAATTGACACTGCAGTTCACAGAGGAGAGCAAGGCCAACAGCAAAGAAATAGATATTATTCTATATTTAGCTCTTCTCTTGTTGTCTTATGTCACCTAGATGGCTGGAAAATACACCACTCATGCAATATTTCATTTGCTAAAATACTGCACAGCTCATTGTACTTTAAATCTAGCAGTGAATTTCAGAATGTGGTAAGAAATGTGATATTAACTGTTCCATAATGGCACAAAGAGAAATAAGGTTGTGAGTATATTTTTATACAGTTTTTCTTAATGAAAAACAAGGAAACATACACAAAGTATTGGAGTTTTTCATGCTGCTACCTTTTATGTTTTCTGTGCATTGTATTTGAATGTTCTCCTCTTGATTTTGTTCTCTGAAATACTTGTTTGAAGTAAGATACTTTATTTTAATAAGTGGAACAAAGCTTTGAATAGCTTGGTTCAAAAAACAGTTTTAAATGAAAGGAGCTGTTGCTAAGCACAGGGATCTTTGCCAAATACTTTTTAAATGGTTTATTGTGCCCTAGCAATCCTGAGATTAAAAACATCTCTTGAATTACAATGACACATCAAAAAATAAAATTAATGTGGGGGTTTTCATTACAAGAACTGAGCCTCTGTGTGTTATTCTTTCCATTAGATAAGAAAGAAACATACTGTGGTACATTGTTTTTGCTGTCAAAGTGAGCTTTTAGGCAAATACACACTATCACACTATATCCCTCATGGATTCAATCATGCACTCTACAAGTTCTTCTATTAATTTAACTTAATGCTGTGGATTTAAGGGATAGACTGTATATTTTCACATATTTTTCTGCACTGGGGATGAATTATTTTTAGACTCCATAAGTCTTCATCAGAATCAGAAGATGGCATTGCCTCAGCCTACTACAATATGGATAATAGTATTGCATCACCCTGTAATAAACATTTAATTTTCCTTGTTCTTGTGATGTTACAAAGCAACTGTTTGACCAAACTCTGGTGTTGCAACACTGCAGAGCATGTAGATCTCATTGCCAGTGAGAAACCTGAGTACAGAGTGCTGGATGTTTTAGAGAAAAACACAATCGATAGCATTTCCCAGCTAATAAAGATGTCTAAAACAGTGCTCTGAGCAGTGCTGGCCTCAGAGTACACAAATTGTGATTTACAACAGGGAAAAAGGAAGTGGAAAAACCAACAGAGAAAACTGCTGCTAATTGATTTTAAACCAAACTCAGTTTCCACACCTTGAAATCTTATTTCAATTTGTACCTGGGGGCTGTGAATAGAGAAAAGCCAAAGTTCCAGATATCTCATGCTGGATTTGAAAGCAGGGCATGCAGATTGTTGGGATTTTCCTGTAAATCACTGACTCCTCTGTTTTGCCCAACATCTCCTAAGCTGCCATTAAAAGACAGAACAGATCCCTTGCCAGATAACACCCTGGTACTGCCTGGCTTTAGCCCACAGGTTTTACTTGTCAGCATCCACTCTCCCGCTTTATTTCCCAAGGACAAATTAATATATTCATCTGTAAGTTATAGATTATAGAAAATTAAACCAAAACACCCTGTACATATAAAACTGAGCTAAACCTGACCTAGGAAAATTGGCAAACACAGTAATGATTGGAACAAGTGGGTCAGATTATATTGGTGTCGCAAATGTAACACCTCAAATGGCTCAAATAACAAAGACAAACATAAAAAAATTAAAGAAGTTGCAGCAAAAGCCTGCCCCTTTCAGGTGCTTTCTTGGACAGTCCATTATGAAGATATGCATTCAGTTTTTTTTAAAGCTTAGAACATTTCTATCACAAAGAACTTCTGTATTTTAGTGCCTGTCCCACACTGTCACACTCAAGAAAATCTGAATATATGACCAAAAAATAAGAGGAACATGTCAAAAAGAAAACCAAGGTCACCTTCTCAAACCAGCCATGCATTCCTTGCTCTCCAAGCTGGCACAAATTCTGGGAATTTCAGTGAGGACCTAAAATGGCCAGAAATGTGTAGAAGGTTGTTTCTTACTCCCAAAGGCACAGGAGTGAGCTTGGAGTAAATGTCTTTGAAAAGTCAGATATCAAAGGTTCCGGATGTGGGTGAAGTGAGGAAAGACCTGTAAAAAATTGTGTTGTTAAGACACGACGAGTTTCAACCAGAGACACTCCATGGCTTTAATGTCCCTCCTCCAGGAGATCCCTAATGAATCCACACCTAATCAGGGTAATCAGGGTTCTCTGCCTCCAATCATGCAGGACTAGGACCTGTATTTTAGGATTCTTCACTCCTCAAGCCCACTTGTCTCATGGGGAGCTCAAAGGCAATGAATGCCACCAGGAAAAACATTCCATAACAGCCCCATTTGATTCCCTGCTCCGATAGGAAATAAGAAATAAAACACTTTAAAAATGAAACAGATCCCTTCAACCTTTGCTGAAAGAAGACCATCACAGTTTATAGTGCTCAAAAGGTGAAGCAGAAATATAAAAAAAAAGATGAAAACAATTACAAACCTTTACACGTCTCTTTGGAAGATATACACTTTTCTGGTTTTCTTTGATAATACCACATAACTCAAAGGGAATACACGGCCTCACATAAAACATCCATCCACCAGAAAAGGCATTTATTGGCCTCAGAAGCCAGATATCACCTAAAACAAAACACAGCATCATTTGGACAAAGATGAAATGACTTGTCCTGACATTGGAACTTGCAGGGAGAGGCACTTCATCACCAGTCAATATTCAACAGCTCTCAGTAGGTAAATTGTGGAGCTGTGAGCATTGGCTCTGCAGCTCACAGCTCATGGCAACTGCATTTGCTCACATTCAGTTCTGTGGATTCTTGTTTATTCACTGCCAGAGACATGCAGCATAAAGCAACGCTGAGCTAATAATTTTCTCATTTCCTAAAGCATTAATTACGCTAATAATTAAGGCATTTCTTTTTCATACTGATTTGAAAGGGAATTAGCACAACTGAATAAGCAGTAATTCTCATGGTCGAATTACCAATAGCCTCCAAAGAGGCATGAGATTAATTTTTGTGTTTGCATTTCCTTATGACAAGGATCAGGCTGCAAACTTTGCAGGCATCAATATGCACCTCAAGCTTCTGAATAAAAAAATATACCTGTGCTGTACCTGAAGCTCTTGGGAAAAAAACATTAAAAAATGGAAAACCATGCAAGAGCTACTGAGATTACTCAATTTTCAGGAAGAGGTTTCAGTAGAAATTGTCCTTATTTCAAGCAGTGTTTAATTTTATTTTATCTCCTTAAGTAGCATGAGAGTTTCTTATTAGGGTACTTGGCTAAGAGCTTATTTTTTAAATTAAATTTCAGTTATAATGAACTCTTGCTTAGCTTAAACCAAAATATTCTGGTGGTAGCTGGTAAATGATGTTATTTCAGTGAAATAAAGATCGCAAGCTCAAAGTTTAATGATTCTCTAATGACGGCTCTGTTATTTAATTGGAACAATTGCTGCAGAGACATTTGTGCTCTTTGGCAATTGCCATTTCTGCTCACACTCAAGTAAAAGTAAACATGCTTTGGGTTCTGGAACCTCTTTAATCCCTTTGGTAAACAGAACAGGGGAATTTCAAAATGAGTGAAAAATGGGATTAATTCTCAGTTTTCAGTCCATGAGCTGAAATCTCCATTAAAATGATCCATATTCCAGTATTTTCCTTCACACCTACCCTTTAGAGCCATTCCTTTCTTCTGACCTCTTCTGTGACATGATCTCATTTCCATGGTCCCAGGGTTTGTGTGAGACAACAGGTGACAGAACCACCCAGCACCTTCCCTCTAGCAATCAGCTTGAAAGTTGAAGACACTGGATTTTAGGAAAACATTTCAATCTAGTTTTCCCATAAGCTTTCAAATCCATGGAATTTAAACCAACTGTCTTCCTCACTAAAAAAGGAGAATAAACCAAACTGTACACATTCAAAATCACTACAATTATTTCAAATATTTTCCTTAACCCACACTCGTCAGTGAAGCAACAACCTCCTGCAGTCTTCTCATAGGTTATTTCCCTTCTTTCCCTTAGTCTTTCCACACAATTTACATCCACTCAGCTAAAATGATAGCTCCTTATCTGTCTGAATCTTGGATAAATCTTTCAGAATTTGGCTGCGTGACCTCTTGTTTTTCACGGCCTGCCACTCCCTCGCAGCACAGGAACCAAAGTGTGTGCTACCCCTTGGATACCTGCATGGTCTTTTCTTTTTTCCAGACCATTGGCTTATAAAATGAACAAAATTGGTCCTAATACTGATCTCCTGTGGCACTCCACTAATCACTTTCCTCTTTCCCAAGCCACTACCCACTCACAAATACCTCTCTTTGATGTCTCAGTAGATAATTTATCTATTCACATACCTCAGCTGCTATAAAACATCAAAATTACAGACCTTGCAGATTATTCTTTTGTGTTTTGCTCTATCAACATATTTCCTAAATGCTAGGAAAATTATTTCTCTGGACCCAATTTACCTTGTTACTGCATAGCAATGATTTGTTAAGCATAATCAAATTTTTGTGGCTGCCTTTAACTGTAATATTCCAGGTGCCTCCACTGGGGCCTGATATAAAAATAAATGGAGTAGGAAAAAAACCAAACAACTCCAAGATCCTTCTGTGCACTCATTTACCAACAGAGCTCAGTAGAAAACCTTGTAACATAGACAAGTTTATTAATAGATATATTCTTTATACTAGTATTATTCTCCATTTATAGTTAATCTTTTGTTTTAAAAACAATCTGGTGATGAAGGAGAATGTGCTGTTTCTTATGAGGACAAAGCAGATGATGCAGGAGAGAGAATCTGAGTGGTTTTCCTGCACTCACCTGGTCTGCTTTCCAGAATCTTGCGCCAAACATACTCGTACCTCTTTTCTCACCTGAAGTTTAAATACTCCAGCAAAAGACAGGACCTGTGTGTTCACCTCATCTGGAGGCATTTGTCCATCCCTCTCCCAGAAGTGCACTTCACAGAAGTGAAGCCTTCGGGGTGCTTCCCTGGAGCTGAGCTTCACATGGGGATGAAAAATGAGCAGTAAATGAACGTCTTCCCCCTGCTCCCATATCCTGGTTTCCCACCTGTGGTGGCAGTGTCCGTTCTGCATCCTGGGATATCTCAAGGAAGTGTCACTGCACTTTTATTTCATCTGTTCAGTTGTTGGGCAGTGACACTTCACCTCATGGAGTAGCAAATGTGTGGCACAGGCAGAACCCAGAGATTTCAGGCATTGGAGTGAAGAATGTTGATGGCAAAGTGTGCTCTGAGCTGCTGACATCCTTTAGCTATAAAGCAAAAATAAAAGCAAAATCATGTATGGAAAAGAATAAAAGCTCTGGTTTATACTTACTATGTGCTCACAAAATTTGTTCTTTCTTTCCTTGGCTAGTCAGAGACATAAAAATTCTATTAAATAAAAAAGAGTTTGTTCCAGACCCCATCAAATGTCAGAGGCATCCTGGTAGCTCAGTGCCAGCACAAGATAAAGATTAATAATATTGGCAGCAACCCCCTTTCCCAAGACTTCTGTAATGAAAAGGGACAGACAATACCAGGGTAGCCATGCAGACACTTCTTGGCTCCTACTTTTCCACTGGTGTTTTTTCCAGTGTAAACTTTATCCTGAATCCCTTGAATTATTGTCAGAATTCCCATGGATTATAATGAGGTTGTATCACCACTTCAACCCTTCAACCCCACCCCCAGCAAAAATATATAAATAAATGTGGAAAAGGCTATGTCACAGTGCAGAAATGTTGTTCTGCATTCCAAACCAGCCCCACACGTTCCTGCTAACACAGTGACTATATGGATGTTCCTCTCATGCATAAAAAAGATCCTTAACAGGCTGTCTTTACTCACAAGGCCCTTCAACAGGTATTCCCGCTTATGTCTGGAAGTGATATGTATTGTAAACGTGCACACCATCTTATTTTATATTGAAACAGAAACAGATTGTTTCATATAGTTGAAATAACTGATAACAGAAGGCAGAGCCATGCTAATTTATGTTGATCAGGATCTGTGCACATTTTCAAATCTTTGAAGGGAGGCAACTCGAACTTAAGCTGTTATGTCTAAAACCATCACATGAAGCCCAATTGGAGAGATGGAAAAAACAGTTGTGCAGGGAAAAAAGACACTTTAAAAAAGTAGTTAAATTCTTGTCCACTTTGGAATTGAAGCAAGATTTCTGTGCTGAGATTAAGAAGAAGCCTTGCATTTCCAGCAAGAACAAGTATTAATAGATAAGATGCAATGCAAGAAGTGATGTCAGGTAAGCCAGAAGCTCTTAAGCCAACTATGAATTTAGGAGAGAAGAGCACAGGTATTTTAATGATATAATTGATGATGGAAATCTGACTTCTTTTAAAGCATTGGCCAGGATTTCCCCCCAAAATTTCTACCCTCAGCATTATTCATCAACTAACCAGTGCTGCCCCAAGGTGGCAATGGGGTTGTACCACCAAGGTGTGCATGAGAGATTTCCTGCACTGCACTGGCACTGCCAGTGCTAATTTCAAGCTCCACGAGAAACAAGACAACAAATCAATGATGATCAAATTGAAAAAAAAAAATATATGTGGAAGGAAAAAGAAAAAACCAAGCAGAGTTATTGGATGGCCTTGTGTCAGAGAGAGGAAGAACAGGTTGGAACAATTAGGACAAGGGATAATGGCCAAGCCCCGTCTTTATCCCCTTTTGCTGTGGACATGGACACAGTGAGCCAGGCTGGGGAGGCAGGGTTTCAATCTGTAGTGCAAAATCACATTTTTAGATAGCTAAATCAGGCATGCAGACAGATATCTGTACAAAACAAACATGGACGCTTAGGCTTGGCTGGGATGGAGATTTCCTCATCACCATCCACCACCTGCTTCGCTGCCACCACACGCTGGCACAGTCACAGTTTTATTTTCTGATATCAAATATACTTTTAGAGTAGTGGAGATGACATATATTTTATAATTGCAGGGCTAAAGGACCCCTAGTCATGCAAAATTAATGACTAAAAATGGCTGAGGATTCTTTCCTCATCAAGAAAAGGACAGTTGCGAGAAGCTGGATTTCCAAGTCACTTAATCAGGCCAAGAAAAACCTAAAATCTAAACTATAATAAGCATATTAAAATAAAACAAGAAGTTTTCAAGTGCTTTCTGGTTTTAAAAATATCAGGAAAAAAATTACACTATTGACTGCCTAAAAACCTTTTTGAAAAGAATGCATTTATTTATGGAGAAAACAAAATTTCCTTTCCCTTGCAATGGCTGATAGAGACCTTGCCCTAACTATGGCTTACCAGAGGAGACACAGAGAAAAAGGGATTTTATTATAGAGACATTAAATTAGGGTTGAACTCCTTAATGACAAATGTCATTATGAGATATGCAGAATATTGTAGTACTGAATAATAAAATTTACACAGCGATTTACAAAAATATATAAGTATTACTTTGGCTTTCAGGAGTGGATGGAATTGTGTTGGGGAAAAACTCTGGGAATGGCTGTGCTGGAAGAGAATGAACCAACTTTTCCCTCCTTTGTGCTGCCCTGCTCTTTTGTGTCCTCTCCCAGTAAACCCAGGGCTGATTTGTATAAAATAACTCAGAACAGAAAAATAAAAGTGGACATTTTCTATGCTGCACATCACTTGAGAAATCCCTGACAGACTCAGGATTTGCAGGAGACTGAATTGTTAACTTCTAGAATTACAAATCAAGCATCATCCCATATGGCACTACTTTTCAAATGACTTCCCTGTAAATCACAAAATCAGAAGTCTGACTCATCAACACTGCCACTGACTGTGTCCATGACATGAATTCGGGCTCCTCACAGAACCAAAGAAGTTACAATATCCCAGTTAGAGCCCAGAGTTGGGAGCCACTCAATTCTCCTTCTGCGTTGCCCCCAATATTTAAAACTATTTTTTACCTTTTCAAGAATTTACTTTTATCTCGTGTGTCTTTTCTGGAGCCCCTTGGCTCCCCTCCAGGTGAATACAATATCCAGTAAATATTCATTTTTCTGTAACTTTTCTGCAGACCAAGGACATCACCAGCATCAGCTGTACCAGTGCCCCATTGTTGTTTTCATCCTAATTTCTATTATTCCTATTTACCAATTATTTAAACAAGATTACCTTATTGAAATGAAACATCTTCCTCCCATCTTCCTTGTCACAGGACCCAGAGTCAGGCTGAATCTGGAAGTGACATATCAGTGAATAAAACAGGAAATATCTGTAGCCAGGGAGCTTCATTTTACGACAGCAGAATTTCCTCTCTTCCCCAAAGTTTGCTTTTTTTCTGGGGCATCCAAACAATACCTGTTTCTTACAAATTTATTGTTCCCCATCAATGATTCTGAATATCCCTCCTCTCCATGTTTGGAATAGACCTGTGTTAGCTTTTTCCTATGGACTTCTTGTATATGAACTGTAGAATAAAAATCAACTCCTTTTATTTATTATTTATTTATTTTTATAAAAATCCCATTTCAAGTAGTGACCAACCGAGTCAGTCACAGGAGTTAGGACAAATAGAACTTTCTTGAGCTTCTCAGGGTTTTCCAACACATTGATTTGATCCATTGTTACTGAGAAATATTACACCTGTATAATATTACACTTACACCTTTCAAAAATATAGATTCTACAATAATGACAGGTTAAATATGATTTTTTTTCAGTGATTCCAACTGTTAAAATTAATTAAAATTTGCACTGGAGCAGGATATAAGATTGGATCCAGGCTGTAGCATCCCCATAGCTCACTCCTGAGATAATTTCATTGCCATCTGAAGCACGTATGGAGAGACAGGGCCTGCTCTAATTACAATATTGTAGTTTTGACTGACAGACAATATGTCTACAATCAACTCATTTGAAAGCCATGTGTTGCGACAGTTCCTTGTCCGACTCCATAGTGCAGAACCAAGACAAATCAGTGCCTTGTTCCTCTGCACTAATCCCACAGCTAAAAAAAAATTAAAAATCTTAGGAAACACGTGGACACAAAGTGGGCCAGAGGTACCCCAGTTTCTTTTTATCTTTTCCTAATTGTTAACATCTGCTGACCCCTTAAACACGGCCAGAGCGTTTGAAAATAATACTTCAAGACGTGTAAACTCCAAAACCAATTCCAAACTTCCCAAACTTCCCATGTGCTCTTCTAAACAAAGTAAGTTTGAGCATGAAAATTTAAAAATCTCAGTTTTAGAAATCACAAGAAACCCCACACTACTGCACTTACTCCTTACTCACACCAACATATAGCTAATGCTGAGACAATGTTTTCATTCTGACCTCACACAGGCCTGGATAAGTATAATTATTATGCAGCATAATATGACAGAGATATCTGTCATTAGTAGAATTTCTGGAATTTTGAACATACATTTCAATAGCCTAAGTGGACCTAGCTTGGCAATTTAGCTGACCCTGGAAAAGAGTGCCTTATGTTCATCTTGTGCAATCTGTCCAGTAACAGATGTACACCATTAAGATGTAAAGTGAGGTGGAGGAGGATGGGAACAGCAGGAGAAGAGTCAGGCCATTAGCAGAGGAGCCATGAGCTTCCCTAGGCCAGCACCAAGGGAGACAGGAACCTACAAATCACTCAAAACAGGTTTTTCCAGTAAACCTGTGATAAACAAATTACTATTTTTGAAGCGCTGCGCTTACTTTATGTTAAATGATACGTAAATATATATTAAAAAAAACAAAAACAAAGATAAAAAAAGCGAGTCCCTGCAGCGTGTTCGAGGTGAGAGCGCGAGGAGGGAGGAGGCTGCAGAGAGGTTCAGGTGGAAAGGGGGCACAGAGTGAATCCAGCCAGCCCCAAATCACAGCCTGGTGTCAGATGGAGCAGCTTCCCTCCCTCCTCCAGCTCTCAGAGCGCCAGGAAGCAGCAAACCCACGGGTGGTAAAGTTCTGCAGGTGAGGACTTTGTGCTGATGACCTGCCACAGCCTGGCACGTTATTAACTCACCTTATTAGCACAATGAATATACTGGGAGTATACATGGGTTTCAGCTCTGTCCTTCCTACTGGCTTCTGTGAGATTTTTCTCACCTTTGTTTATTCAGTTACTACCACAAATGTGTAAAAACAGCCAGGACTTGCAATTAATTGGTTTTTAAAGTGTTCAAAGTGCCACTTTCCAGGATTATCGCAACATAAAAATATTCATCGTATCTGCCCACACCAAATGTTGATATAAATTATTAATTTAAGGCAAATGTGACAATTAAGCAGATTTATTAGCCTTAATACATCATGCAATTACTAAATGACTTCTTTTTAAAGCTCGTCTTCTCTCTTTCTCTGCAAGCAAAACTGCCTTTGTTTTAGGTACCATATTTTATTTATTGATACACATCATCTTGAGAATGAGCTATCCAAGTTAAATTTTGTAGTGACAGCATTTAATTAACACACAAACAAAGTACATACAGATACTTATTAGCATCACAATAGCAGTCTCCAGGGAGGAAAAAAGTGTCTTTCAGGCAGAGTTTTTTGAGTAAATAATTAACAGACAAAACAATCCCTGAAACTGTGGCTAAAGCACACTTCTGTTTGCAGTTTTACTACAGGGACCTCCAATTGACCAGGGCTGGATTGATCAGCCCTAAAAGAAGCTCCTTTTGCCATGAGGCTGAAGCCACAGATGGCCACGTTTGTGTTTGCCTGTGGCACAATGTTTGTTCTGTCAATACACAACATCAGTTTTCAGGACAGTCAGGATGATGATTTTGATGTTTTCAGAGGTTTGAGAATCCCTAGTTGTCAGTATATTAGAAATTTACACATGTAGAATATGGCTCTTTGGACAACTCTGGTCTTTCCCACAAACACAACTTATTCACCACATATTCCTTTGGGTGTCCTTTATAAAAACCCAACTGTGGTTGTGGTTTAGCTTTATTTTCCCCCTCACACATTATATGTTGCTCTGGGAGCTTAAAATATTGTTTTCAGCTGAGCAAAAGGAAATGTCAGGGATAATTTTGATAAATGTGAGCCATCTCATATTTCCTGTTAACAAGTGCTTTGTGTGTCTAATAACATGCACCTGTGAAGCTGATTTTTCTTTTTCATGTGACCTCAGAGAAGTAAAAAGAGACTGTGCCTTCTGCTGGGGCAATAACATTGATGGAAAGATTTTAAATAAACACAGAGGTAGAAAAGCCCCTCCCCACCCTGTGGCCCATCCCTCTCCTGGGTTTGGGGCTTGTTCTCAGGATTTTTCTGGTGAAGAACACAGATGGTGGTGGGATGATCACAGCAGGGCTCAGCTCAGTGATCACTGCAAAACCTCCAGATCAATACAAGATCAAACACTGGACCTGATGCTCTTGGAGGTCTTTTCCAACCTAAGACTTTTAAGCTGCTCCACCAGAAATTGAGCTCTCTTTACCTAAACTGAGAAAACCAATGATTCCTCCTCTCTCAGGAGCTGAGAAATGTTACAGAGCAGTGAGAATTTATACCAATCTCATCTGTATTTAGAGTGCTCTATTAAATTTCCAGTGTATAATTCCCTGTAGCTAAACATTTTTGATGATGCAAACAGTCTGGAATTGTGAAAATTCACCGTGCTTCCAATGAACTTTGCTTTTCAAACAGATTTTCCAGGAACAAACTGCACAGCTCTTTCCTCCTGAGTTATCAGACAGCCCTGTTTCCCCACAGGGAAAAGCTTTTAAAGTTCCCTGCCAAAATTTCCCAGGTCTACTTTGTTAAAGAAGAATAGGGAATGGTATATTTTCTTGTTTTGGGCAGGTGGTTCTTGTCTGATTTTGTTCTTCTGGGGATAAGACATTAAAAAGAAAGAATTATATCATGATACAGAGAATATCTAATGAAACAAAAATAAAAACCCAAACTTAATTTTTTCAAAAATTCAGGTTTCCAACAGAACTTCCATTGATACCCTTGTCACAACTGAAAGCTTCAAAGTTTCTTTTTTGAAAGATGTTTCATTTTTTATCCCGTAAAGGCTCCTGTGAATCGAGGTAAATAATAATGAGTTTTTTTCAGTCACTTGACAACTACAAAAGAAGTGAATCTCCACTGGCTAATAAGAATTAAAAAGAAAATTGTAGCCTACCTGGTTTCCTGTAAAAAAAGATATTCCTAAGCAGAATCGGTAGATCTCCAAGTGACAAAATATTTTTGCTTTAGACGAGACAACTTTCTCAGCTTTAAAGAAGTTCTTTAGAGAATGAAACACATATTTGATATAAATGTTCTTCCACACTGAGCCTAACATTAAAATATTTCATAGTTAAAAGAAATATGTCTTGTACTATATTCATTTGTACAAACAGTCTATAAACCTAGACTACAATTCAATGTGCCTGTGAAACATGCTTGAATAGAAATGTTCTTTTTAAATTAAATATCTTCTAGTCAATTTTTTTTAATCATTCGGTTTCTACTTCTGAACTCCTCTAAGCAAGCTTGTTTTATTTTAGGAATGCTCTTTTAATCAATTATTTAAATTGTAAGGCTGTACAACAGAATATGATCCATAGGGATTTGTTCTGTTCCGATGGGTCATTTATTTATGAAATTTCTGTGCTCTATGCCTACTAAAATATTGATGTTCTTCCCCTTTTCCCCTTTTTCTGATTTAGGTAAAATGGTAAGTATTGAATTGAATTAATTTAAAGATTAGCCATTATAATGAAGTCTTATTTAATCACTAAGAGGAGCCCAAAGAGGCGAAATGTGGCTGACAGAATTTAGTTTGGAGCAGGCAGGAATCCTTGGAGAAGAGTGAAACTTCTGGAAAGTCTCACCCACATTCTGGTTTAGGTTATTGGAACCATTTATTAGGTTAGTTTTCCTGAGGAAGGAAATGCCAGTGTCACTCATTCCAGTCCCTCCTGAGGAGGTGATAACAATATCATCATTTTTTATTATTATTATTATTATTATTATTATTATTATTATTATTATTATTATTATCAGTAGTAGTAGTAGTAGTAGTAATACTACTAATAATAACAGTAATAATAATAATAATAATAATAATATAATCCCTCTTAATTATTATTCACTTGATCTTCACCTTTTACACTCCCTGGCTAGCTAAAAGTGTTCAGGTAATTTAATTTTGCTAAAATTCTTGCAAATGTGTAATTCTCTTTAAATATATTTCTGAAGCCTGCCATTCATTTATGGAAAATTATCAC